CATCATTTACAGAAAGTTTCGCATGACCACGTTGCAAAGCATTTTACCACTCCTGTCTCCAGGGACTTGGATGGTCACTTTAGATCTCAAAGACGCTTATTTTCACGTCTCCATCCATCCTCGTCACAGAAAGTTCCTCAGATTCGCAGTCGGGGAGGACCATTACCAATTCAAAGCCCTTCCATTCGGGCTCTCTACCGCCCCCAGGGTTTTTACGAAGGTAATGGTGGTTGTCGTCGCTCATCTTCGCCTTCAGGGCATTCAGATCTTTCTGTATATAGACGACTGGTTGATGGTGGCAGATTCAAGAGAATGTCTCCTTCGGCACATTACCATCACATTGTCGGTCCTATCCTCCCTCGGAATTCTGGTGAACTTACAGAAATCCATGCTGCTACCTGCAACTCGAGTGCAGTTCATAGGAGCTATTATAGACTCCCTAGCCTCTCGGGCGTACCTTCCTCGCCAAAGAGCAGATACCATTCGTCTGGAAATTCAACGGTTGCTTCAGTCCAAAGTGACATCAGCGGTTCGCATTCAGCGGATCTTGGGTCTCATGGCAGCCACCACTTCTGTGATCGAGTGTGCACGCCTCCGCATGCGCCCGTTACAGCTTTGGTTTCTGAAGAAATTTCGCCCTTCCATTCACCCTCCAAGTCTGCAATTGATAGTGCCTCCTCAGATCCTAATCTCCCTGCAGTGGTGGCTTATAGATGCCAACCTGTTGGCCGGTGCACCATTCCAACTAGCTATTCCTGCAATATCGATCACCACGGATGCTTCCCTGTGGGGTTGGGGTGCTCATACAGACAACGTTTGTGTAGGTGCTCCGTGGCAGCCCCTGTGGAAGCGTTATCACATCAACTATCTGGAACTGCTGGCCGTACAATTTGCCCTCCGATCCTTACACAGACAGGTTGTAGGGAAGGCTGTGTTGATATTCACAGACAATACAACGGCGATGGCCTATATCAATCACCAGGGCGGAACTGTGTCCAGGTCCCTTTGCAGACTAGCTATGGACATATGGGAAGAGTGCCTTCATTGGAATATCACCCCCCAAGCTGCTCATTTACCGGGAACTCTGAACCAGCAAGCGGACTTCCTGAGCAGAGGGGGAGCATCGGACCACGAATGGGAGTTGAACTCAAAGTATCTCTTCCCCCTCTTTCAGCGTCTGGGGCACCCACGCATCGATGCGTTTGCAACCAGATTCAACACGAAGTGCCCAATGTTCTGCTCCAGAGCGGGTCTGGACCCTCTGTCGATGGGGGACGGTTTGTTGATGTCGTGGGCTCACGATTTCCTGTACCTGTTTCCTCCGATTCCGCTGCTTCCCCGGGTGCTTGTGAAAATTCAACGCGACAAGCCCCATTGTCTCCTAGTAGCTCCATGGTGGCCTCGTCAGGCCTGGTTTCCGACACTGTTGCGATTGGCAAAGGGATCCTTTGTCCACCTACCAAGGGAATTGGATCTCCTACAGGCCCAGGAGGGCCAGGTCCTTCACTACGATCCTCTGAGCCTCAAGTTGACTCTGTGGGAAATACGTTTTCCGTGATGGATGCCCGTATCAATGATGTCTTGTTGAACTGTCGTCAATTGTCTACTAGAACTTCCTATGCTAGGAAGTGGGATTTATTCCTGCAGTACCTGAGTTCCTCTAATTTATCCCCTCCACCAGTGGATTTGAGGTCTGTTTTTGCGTTCATTTTGTCCAGAATGGATTTGGGGCTCAGTTTTTCTTCAGTTAAGGTGTATTTAGCTGCGGTGTCAGCTTTTCATCCATCTATTGATGGGTTTTCAGTTTTCTCGCATCCTCAGACGAAACAGTTTTGTAAAGGTCTTATTCGCCTGTACCCTCCTCGTCGTCTTCCGACTCCGGCCTGGGATTTGGCTTTAGTTTTGCGTTTTTTGATGGGTAAACCCTTTGAACCGTTGGCCACGTGTTCTCTGAAGTTGTTATCGCTCAAAACTGCGTTTTTGGTGGCCATTACTTCTGCTCGTCGAGTCAGCGAGTTGTCTGCTCTAAGGTGTGATCCACCATATTTGAGTTTTTCCCCACATGGAGTATCGTTGTTTTTGGATATCTCCTTTCTGCCAAAAGTCGTTTCGGAATTTCATTTACGCTCAGATATAGTTCTGCCATCGTTTTTCCCGTCTCCCGTTAATGAAGAGGAACGGAAATTGCACTCTCTGGATGTTAAGAGAGCGTTGCTATTTTATTTGGGCAGAACTAAGTCTTTTCGCCAGTCTCCAGCTTTGTTTGTTGCTCACAGTATGCCCGCACAAGGCAAGAAGATCTTTTCCCAGACTCTGTCTAGATGGATCGTGGAAGTGATCAAACTGTGTTACGCTTTGGCTAAGAAACCTCTTCCAGGTCAGCTTCGCGCCCATTCTACGAGGGCGGTAGCAACTTCCACAGCTTTCCTGCGAGGTATGCCGTTGGAGGACATCTGCAACGCTGCGACTTGGGCTACTCCGCTCACCTTCGTGAAGCATTATGCCCTTGATGTCCGGTCTACTCGTCGTGTGGCGTTGGGTCGGTCTATTTTGCAGACGGCGCAGGTGTAGGGCCTCGGCCCCTCCTCCAGGTAAGAGTTATTGCTTGCTATTCTCCCAAGGGTGTGATGCACAGAGACCACGAAGAAGATAGACAGGTTGCTTACCTGTAACTGGTGATCTTCGAGTGGTCATCTGTGCATTCACACCACCCGCCCTCCTTCCCCTCTGCTCTCGGCCCTTCATCTTGTTTCTTTGAAGGCTGATGGACGGCGGTCAGAAGGAACTGGCGGGATCTGCGTGCCCCTCCTTGGTCATGCGCAGTGGAGCCGGCGTGTGACCTGGGAGAGGCGCGAAAATCCCTTTTGCTAGCTACCGGTACCGAGAAGGTTCAGCGCAGGCGCAGTATATCCCAAGGGTGTGAATGCACAGATGACCACTCGAAGATCACCAGTTACAGGTAAGCAACCTGTCTTTATTTATTTATTTATTTATTAAACTTATATCCCGCCCTACCCCCGTAGGGCTCAGGGCGGCTAACAGGCAAAAATTATCTACTAAAATAGCTCCAAAGTCCGCTCAAAACTTTTTTGGCCCAAGAAATAGTAAAGTGGAGCAGGAAAAATTAGGCGCAGAGCCATCTAAAATGGCCGCCGACCCGTCCATATCTGAATCACTGGAAACCTCCTCTGACAGGCAAGACTTCCCTCTCTTATTAGAAAGAATGGAAAGAAGACTTACATCCAGCCGGTTCGCGAACAATTAACTGATATTCAAACCGCATTGGTTAAAACCTCAAAGACAGCCGAGTTGGCCCTTAACATGAGCATGCTATTAAAGAAGAACCCTGCTGGGACTTCCGGTACGGCGCTTCGATGAGCGGGTGGGCATTTTCCTCGCTCCGTCCCGCTCGACCCACCAGTGCTCTTTTTTGAGTCTCCCAGTATTGGGAGAGCTCGACCGGCACTCTCTGACAGAGTGCTGGAGCAGAGGGCTTCGTTGCTGGCCCCTCCTGCGATTTGGCAAAGCGGGGGGGTGACCAGTAATGCCCCAAAGCGGGAGCTTGGGAGGGGAAGAACATGGCTGCCATGTTCTTCCTAGACGCGGCCATCCGGCTTTTAATCTGTTTAGTTTGTCTTTTTGAGAGGAAATGATACATCTCATTGGAAAATATTTTTTGCGCACTCACGGAACGAGCGGAGAGGACTATTATATGCCCTGTGTTTTTTACCTGCTATATGTGGAAAAAAACGGCTGAAAAATCGGTTTGGGAGCTGAGAGAGACGAGATGTGGTGAAGGGGTAAGAAGAAAACATCAGTACCTTTTCAGAATTATACTGGATTATATTTGATTTTTGCGGAACAGTAAGATATGCTGGAAGAGATGGAAGTGGTTGATATGAAAGAGGGAATAGACGGAGACACAAAACTTTGTGATATCACGTGGGAACAATGGGAACAGTTCCAAAAAACTATGGTGAGAGAAATGAAACAAATATTTAAACTGGCTTGTGAGAGCTTTTTGAAAAATCCCCAGAATGAATTGCTAGAAGTGAAGGAAGAGAAAGAAATAATAAAGGAAATGAAAGTGCAGGAACAAGAACAGAAGAAAGAACTATATGTAGCTCAGTCTGTACTTATAAAGGAAGAGGTCCAGGAGGGAGACACCTCTAAAGGTGCATTGGAAAGACAAGGAAAATTGGAACCAGGACTAACAAATAAAAGTCTGCGGAACCCATTTAAGAGAAAAAAGAAGAAGCAAATCAGAGGGGGAAAATCAAAGAAAGGTCTGAAGAAATATAAAGTCCCCAAGCAATTAAATGTGAGGGTGTGTGGAAGAGATAAGTTGGAAAAGAAAGTCCAGGAGTACAAAGACCAACAACATGTAGAAGAGGATGCAAAAAATCAAGGTAAAAAGGAACTGGAGTATAGTATTGCTGCAAGGATTGAGTTGGTGAATTAAAAATTTGTTGCCTATTCTTTTCTGTCTTCTCTCTAATCTGATGCTGGGAACGTTAAAGAATGAGTGCATTGAATTATGTTGTGTTTGTATGATAGGGAATTTGTTGTGGGTTTCTATAAGAATAAAGTTTATGTATTTATAGTTGGACTTGAATAATAGCATCATAAATAAATTGGTAATGGTAATCTTTGCTGTCAATGGTAGTAATATAGGTAATCTAGTGAGGAAGTTATACTGTTGCTGGGAATGTTAAAAGATGGTAGCACTGGAATTAATTAAGGGTGGGGTGATCTCTCTGTTTTTTCTTTATCCTGGTGCTGGGAACTCTAAAGGATGAGTGTATTGAATTATCTTGAGGTTGTGTGATAGGGAACTTGTATATGGGCTTTTGTACGAATGAAGTTTCGCATTTAGATTTTGGCTTTGAAAAATTGCATCATTGTTGTATGTGGGTTTTTGTAAGAATGAAGTATTTGCATTTATAGTTTGGTTTTGAATAATTGAATAATTGCATAACTGCCCCTTCTTGTGCTTTCAGGTGGAAGCCTTGACCCGCCAAGCCCGAGCCACCACGGTCCATGCTGTGCGGGACACAGAGCTGGCCAAGCTGCCGGAAGGGACCCTCAATAACATCAAGCGGCGGTACCCTCAGGTGGGCGGTCAGGAATCCTCTGCTTTCAGACATTACCAGACTTCCGCATTTCAGACAGCAGAGGTGTTCTGAGGCAGAAGCCACATTCACAGGCATAAACGTCTTCGCAGAGAGAGAGAGAGAGAGAGAGAGAGAGAGAGAGAGAGAGAGAGATTTCGCAGAGAGAGAGAGAGAGAGAGAGAGAGAGAGAGAGAGATAGATAGAGAGAGAGAGAGAGAGAGAGAGACTGTAATGGTAAACAGCAGCAGCTCAAAAGAGACTAGAGAGCCTAGTATGTACTTAAGGGGCATCACACTACTGGGAACAGACGGACTAAATCTGTGAGGAAAGGAGAGGTTTCCATTCCCTACAAGGCATGCCTTGCAATTGTGTGTTGTTTTTTTGAAGAATGCATGCAGTCAAATGTTCTTTTGACTTAAAACTGGTTCATCAAAAGCCTGCTTTTTAGTGCCAGTGCTTTTTATGATCAAACGAGAATAGCAAAGACAAGATGCTCCCCGGTGACCTAAGCCCCCTCCTGCACGTCTTCTGCGCAAGGCGGCAGCTGGAGCACTTGCTCGCTAGCAGGATGCCTCCTCCCCACTGGGCTGCCTCGTCAGTGGGTCTTCAGGTCTGCAATGAGGGGGTGAAGATGTCATTCGGTGGGCACGATGTCGGGAGAAGCTGAGGGGGAATTAGCTGGAGGGCTCTTCTGCCGGGAGGAGCCGTGAAGTCCTGCCCAGGCTGGCCCCGCCCCTCCCCTGGCCCCTCCCCCCCCGTGTGGCTGCGAGAGGGAGCAGCCCGCAACACATGCTGAGAACGGACAGCTGCTCTTGGGCTTCCTTGTGCGGCCGGGCTGGGTCGACCACAGATTCGGGTCTCTTCCCTCGTGCCCTTTGGCTCTAAAGCCTGCTTATCCTTTACCCAGGTGGTGACCCGTCTCATCCATCTACTGAGCCAGAAGATCCTGGGGAATTTGCAGCAGTTGCGTGGCCCTTTCCGAGGTGGGCGTCTTGACCTTGAGGCTTACCTCCTCCTCCTCCTCCTCCTCTTCCCGCTGTCTGCCGCAGAAGGCGCGCCTCAGGCGTATAGTGTCCCCGTGGGGGGGGGGGGCGCTCCGCTGCAGGGCCCACTGTGCCCTTGCCCAGCGCCTGCAAGGCCTTGGACTTCAGAGGCGATCAGAGTGTTTGTGTGTGTGTATCTCTTGCAGGGCCCGGTCTCAGCGTGGCCTCCAGCTCAGAGCTGACCAACCCGGCCAGCAACCTGTCTACCGTGGCCGTCCTGCCAGTGTGTGACGATTTGCCCATGGCAGCCTTCACCCTGGAGCTCAAACATGCCTTGAACGCCATTGGTGAGCTCTGCTACTGATTGGATGCTTGTTCTTGGTATAAAGAAGTTGTTAAAAATATCTGCTGTTCATTCAGTTAGGGACATGCTGTTGAAAACAGAAGAGGAAAAATAACACTGAAAGAGAACAAGAAAGGAGTACATTATCATCACAAAATTAAAAAATTAGCAACAAATACAAGAAAAAATAGATAACACATAGAAGGATTAATTCAACACTAAAGCCCCTCATATTGGTTCCATAAAGTATAAAAAAATAGCATTTTCAATATAGACTAACTATATAGTTCAGAAACACTGTATGCCAACAGCACATAATTTTAATGGGTACCAGGTGATAATTTATACCTGGATTAGACCAGAGAACAAAGCAGAAGTGAAATGGCGCCTTAAAGACCAAAAAACCCCCCCAAAAACCATATTCATTGTAGAAAGGCAAACGTGGCAGGAGGGGAAGGAGGAGTTTAGCCAAAAGAGGCCTGGCAATGTGGCCAGGGATTTGAGCTGTTTTAGACGAACCGCATAACTAATGATTACAGAATTCCGAGATCTCTTTCTGTGCAGTGAAGAGAAAAGTGTAGTATAAGAGCAAGGCTTGAGTCCAGAAGCATCTTCAGGACCAACAGGATGGCCAGGGTATAAAGCTGCTTTTCTGTGAGGTCCCACAGAGGTGTCTCAAGGAGCGACGGCCGTGGCCCACGCAAGCCCTCCGCGTTAGACTCTCCGGTGGCTCCTGCACGCCTGCTCTTTTTCTGCTGCTACAGAAAGGCTAACATGGCTACCCATCCTGATCTGTCAGTAAGAGGTCATGGGTGATGACAACAGGTTGATAGCAGTCGTAAGGAGCAAGGAAACCACTCATGGATTAAGCCAGGAGGAGAGGAAGCTTTTAATTTCTTGGTGCTTGGATTCAGCACTTTGAAGGGCTTTTTTGGGGTGAGAGGGTAGGAGCAGTAGATGCCCAGGAAGATTAAAAGGTTCTCCCCGCTGGTTTCTGAATATTGTGATTTCTTATGAGGAGGAACAGATGTACCCCTGATTCTCTCATGTGGGGACTGACACATTGTTCAATAGAAGGGCATGGTTGGCACAAGAGCCAAACTGAGAGCCAGTTTGGTGTAGTGGTTAAGTGTGCGGACTCTAATCTGGGAGAACTGGGTTTGATTCCCCACTCCTCCACTTGCCCCTGCTGATGTGACCTTGGGTCAGTCACAAGCTCTGGCACAGTGGTCCTTGAAAAAGAGCAGTGTGTGTCAGAGCTCTCTCAGCCCCACCCACCTCACAGGGTGTCTGTCGTGGGGAGGGGAAGGGGAAGGAGTTTGTAAGCCGCTCTGAGACTCCCTTGGGTAGTGAAGGGCGGGGTATAAATCCAATCTCCTCCTCCTCCTCCTCCTCCTCCAAGATGGCGTGCGATGTGCTGTCCAAGCAGATGAACCCAAGGGGGTGTAGCTGACGTCATTGGGTCCTGAAACAGATTACAGAAAAAGCATAACATCCTGTACAGAGCCTGTTCAGAAAGCTATCTGGGGGGGGGGGGGGGGCAACCACTACTTAGATACCCC